CAGATCTCCTGGGCTGGCTTTGAACCTTAATCCTCAGATCTCAGCCTCCTGAGTAACTAAGATTTATAGGCATGAGCCACTGGTGCCTGGCAAGATGTTGTAACGATTTCATGAACTGAGGCTTCCAAGTTGACCTTCCAGAGGAGGCTAAAGCAGGCTGTAATAACGTGTCCACCAAGCAGCTGCCACCTGACACACGGGCCACAGCCAGTGCTGTCCCTGACCAGAGAGGAGGTCCACTATGGTTTGCCGGTGGTCTTCTGGCGGTTCCTGTGGTGGGGACTTGGGGAAGGACCACCTGCATGCCTGGCCTTTCTTGCTGGCCTCCGGCGCATGCTCCCACCACGATTCCTTCTGCCACGAAGTCTTCATAGGAGCCAGTCAATGCTGGTGCTGTGTCCTTGAACCACTAAACATACTGATCTTACAAAGTATCTACAAAAGTACGCGTTGGGGCTGGGAAGGTGGTTCAGTGGTAGAGTGCTTGCCTCGTATGCACGAGGCCCTGGGTTTGATTCCTCAGCACCACATACACACAGAAAGCCAGAAGTGGTACTGTGGCTCAAGTGGTAGGGCGCTTGCCTTGAGCTGAAGAGCTGAGGGACAGCGCCCAGGCCCAGAGTTCAAGCCCCACAACTGACCAAGAAGAGAAAAGAAGAGGAAAGAAAAGAAAAGAGAAGAGAAAGTTGGGCACTAGTGGCTCATGCCTGTAACCCTAGCTACTCAGGAGGCTGAGATCTGAGGATCGCAGTTCAAAGCCAGCCTGGGCAGGAAAGACTGTGAGACTCCTATCTCCAATAAACCACCAGAAAACCGGAAGTAGTGCTGTAGCTCAAGTGGTAGAGCACTCGCCTTGAGCTGAATACCTGAGGGACAGCGCCCAGGCCCAGAGTTCAAGCCCTACGACTGACCAAAACAAACAAACAAAAAAAAAAGAATAGAAGAGAGAAGAAAAGGCCATATACCATATGATTCTATGATACTATAATGGCTGGAAGAGGCCAACTTGCAGAATGCACTGAGGTGCCCGCACCGGCTGAGTGGACTATCGGTGGGCAGTAGAGCTCTAGAGACAGAGTCCACGGAGGTGTTGGTGCCGGCTGGGGGAGGTGCGGGGGATGGTGGTTCCTCAGGAGTTGTGAGAAGATGTTCCTAACAAGCCAGACGCTGCTGGGCCTACTGGACAGGCCTGACCCCGTCTGCCCTCAGCTACACCTCACTCAAGAGACCACACCTCAACTTTTGTACTTGGGACCCCTTCAGGGAAGCCCGCTCACCTCACCTAGAAATGCAGTACTAGGAATGACCGTCCTAGTCACGCGCTCACTAAACTGGATTTGCACAACCTGTGGCTGCACCCAGCTTCTCTGCCTTTTCTTTTTGAAACAGCCTCACTATGTGGATCAGTATGGATCAAACTCGGGGTCTCTCCTGCTCCAACGACCCTTCCCCTCCCCAACTCCAGCCCGGGGCCTGGGCTTGAGCTCAGGGCCTGGGTGCTGTCCCTGAGCTTTTTCAGCTCTAGGGCAATGCTTTACCCCCCGAGTCACACAAACACTCGTCAATACTCTTATCTCCCCTGAACCACCAAGGAGGCAAGGTGGCCAGGCCCCAGTGGCTCATCCCCGCAAAGCCTAGCAACTCAGAAGGCTGAGCTGAGGCTCGCAATTCGAACCCAGCCCAGGCAGGGAAGTTCCTGCCAGTCTACTATCTCCAATTAACCTGAAAAACCAGAAGTGCTGCCATGACTTAAGTGATACAGCGCTAGCTTTGAACACAAAGAAGAGGTCCTGGGACATGCCCAGCCCAGTTCAAGCCCCACAGACCAACAAACAAAACAACAACCACAACAACAAAAGTCAGAAGTAGAGCTGTGGCTCAAGTGGTAGAACACTAGCCTTGAGCAAAAAACTCTCAGTGACAGCACCCAGGCCCTGACTTTAAGTCCCATCCAGGACTGGCACAAAGTAAAAGGCATTTCCAGGTTATTGAAAACACCCTAATGAATTTCACCAAATATGAAATACATTTACTGAAGATTCATGGATAGCACTGCTCAGTAGTCAGAACACTGTGTGTAGTACACAACCGCTCACTAGTCGGTACGTTGTGTGCACTACACAACCGCTCACTAGTCGGTACGTTGTGTGCACTATACAACCGCTCACTAGTCGGTACGTTGTGTGCACTACACAACCGCTCACTAGTCGGTACGTTGTGTGCACTACACAACCGCTCACTAGTTGGTACATTGTGTGTACTACACAACTGCTCACTAGTCAGTACATTGTATGTACTACGCAACTGCTCCCTAGTCAGTACGCTGTGTGCACTACACAACCGCTCACTAGTCCGTACGTTGTGTGCACTACACAACCGCTCACTAGTTGGTACGTTGTGTGCACTACACAACCGTTCACTAGTCGGTACGTTGTGTGCACTATACAACCGCTCACTAGTCAGTACGTTGTGTGCACTACACAACTGCTCACTAGTCAGTACGTTGTGTGCACTATACAATGATGCTTTATGCATCAAGTTCCATTTTTCTTCTACATGTCAAGAAACATTTCCCCAGATGAAAACAAGCTAGGGCATATGTCTGAAAGCGAGACTCGCTCCTAGGAGCAGCAGTGCTGGGTGCGGTGAGCCTCCTGCACTCTGCACTGAGTCACCTTTAACAGGACTCTGACTCTGACCAAGGGCTCAGGGTTAAAGCGTTCCCATGAGCACTGGGAATCAGAGCCTGGTGCTGGGAACCCTTGGATATATTCTCAGAGCTGGCCCCACCCCATGAGAGCAGCTCAGGTGATTCTGCCCTCTCTGAAGACACTTTACAGGTAGCTCATTTTACTGGAGTAACTGCCAGCTACATCCTGGAAATAGCAATGTAAACTGTTTCACTTAAAATGCAACAAAATAAAGTTTAGCTACATATATAAAATTGGATGCAAAAGTTTTCTATGAAAACATTAGTAACTACTACTTTTCATCATTAAGAGTTGCATGACTCCCTGGAGGGAGTCCAGTGAGCTAAGTATAGTAGGGCCAAAGTGCCCTTGTTTTGCTCTAGATTTGACTCAAGAGGAGCACTACATCTCTCAAGTTTCCATTTGTTAAACAGCTAACTCTTCCCCTTTCATTCTGTGAAGGCTAGTCCAGTCTGTACGGATGATGGGTGGCAGGTGTTGTGTAGTCTGTACGGATGATGGGTGGTAGGTGTTGTGTAGTCTGTATGGATGATGGATGGTAGGTGTTGTGTAGTCTGTACGGATGATGGGTGGTAGGTGTTGTGTAGTCTGTACGGATGATGGGTGGTAGGTGTTGTGTAGTCTGTATGGATGATGGGTGGTAGGTGTTGTGTAGTCTGTACGGATGATGGGTGGTAGGTGTTGTGTAGTCTGTACGGATGATGGGTGGTAGGTGTTGTCCAGTCTGTATGGCTGATGGGTGGTAGGTGTTGTGTAGTCTGTACGGATGATGGGTGGTAGGTGTTGTGTAGTCTGTACGGATGATGGGTGGTAGGTGTTGTCCAGTCTGTATGGCTGATGGGTGGTAGGTGTTGTGTAGTCTGTATGGATGATGGGTGGTAGGTGTTGTGTAGTCTGTATGGATGATGGGTGGTAGGTGTTGTGTAGTCTGTACGGATGATGGGTGGTAGGTGTTGTCCAGTCTGTATGGCTGATGGGTGGTAGGTGTTGTGTAGTCTGTATGGATGATGGGTGGTAGGTGTTGTGTAGTGTGTATGGATGATGGGTGGTAGGTGTTGTGTAGTCTGTATGGATGATGGGTGGTAGGTGTTGTGTAGTCTGTACGGATGATGGGTGGTAGGTGTTGTGTAGTCTGTACGGATGATGGGTGGTAGGTGTTGTGTAGTCTGTACGGATGATGGGTGGTAGGTGTTGTGTAGTCTGTACGGATGATGGGTGGTAGGTGTTGTCCAGTCTGTATGGATGATGGGTGGTAGGTGTTGTGTAGTCTGCACGGATGATGGGTGGTAGGTGTTGTGTAGTCTGTACGGATGATGGGTGGTAGGTGTTGTGTAATGTGTATGGATGATGGGTGGTAGGTGTTGTGTAGTCTGTACGGATGATGGGTGGCAGGTGTTGTGTAGTGTGTATGGATGATGGGTGGTAGGTGTTGTGTAGTCTGTACGGATGATGGGTGGTAGGTGTTGTGTAGTGTGTATGGATGATGGGTGGTAGGTGTTGTGTAGTCTGTACGGATGATGGGTGGTAGGTGTTGTGTAGTCTGTACGGATGATGGGTGGTAGGTGTTGTGTAGTGTGTATGGATGATGGGTGGTAGGTGTTGTCCAGTCTGCATGGATGATGGGTGGTAGGTGTTGTGTAGTGTGTATGGATGATGGGTGGTAGGTGTTGTGTAGTGTGTATGGATGATGGGTGGTAGGTGTTGTGTAGTCTGTATGGATGATGGGTGGTAGGTGTTGTGCAGTCTGTATGGATGATGGGTGGTAGGTGTTGTCCAGTCTGTATGGATGATGGGTGGTAGGTGTTGTGTAGTGTGTATGGATGATGGGTGGTAGGTGTTGTCCAGTCTGCACCACTAGGTTATCAAGTATAGCACACTGGCAGCTAGGGCATCAGCAGCAGACCATCAGTCAAAGGGTTTAGAGCACACACAAACCTTGCAGAGCAAGTGTGGTCTTCTACTGAGAGCACATTCAACAATTCTGGCAAAGCAGCTAGCTGAGAGAAGGTGAAGAGGTCAGTTCACAGGCTACACATCTGTGCCAGCAGGAAGCACTGCGAGCCTGCTATCAACAGAATCTTACAATGCTTCCTAAGTTTCCTGAACGACACCAATTATTTTCAATTACTGCACATGAGATATAAAATGACGAAATGTAACTTCTATGTAAATTAATACTAAAATAGTAACAACTGTGAATAAAACTCATCAATGAAATTTAGAACAAAACTATACAGAAGCACCGAGTGACATCTTTTGTGATGTGTTTTTATATAAAGATCGTGTTACCTTTCCGAGCATCCTGCCTAAGAAGTAGTAATGTCTGGCAAAAGAATCTCCCACAAGCATCTGGGCAGCTGGGTTCGGGTACAGAAGCCCTTCATTAGTGGTCTTAAAGAATCCCTGGTTGGGGTTAAATCCGGATTTTAGTAGTTCATTTAAAAACTCTCGAAAAATACCCCCACCATCGATGCCAGCTTCATCCAAGCCATGGGCGTTGAGCAAGTGCACACGGATCCGCTTTTTCAAATCTGGTTCTGTTAAGGAAAAGGGAAGGGTGTTAAACAGTCAAAAAAGCAGTGAGAGCAAGGGTGATACAGGAAGCACCAGCGGAGGTCAGACAGCAGAGTGCTGACGTGTATGACTCAGCAGAGCCATGATATTAAAGGGACAATGCCATGGCATCCACATAAATACAAATAAGCAAACATAGTCCAAAACCAGAAGCTTGTGTACATCAAAGTGCCCATTTCAGCTTGCTAGCAAACAATAAAAACAACCTCTCTGGAGTCTGCAGGAAAAGGTTTGCAATAGTAGGGAGCCCAAGGCTTTGGCGTGCTAGACAAGCGCCCTTCCTTCATCTGAGCCGCGCTCCCAAGCCCTTCGCTTCTTCACTTGCTCTTGGCTAACTTTATCCAGGTTGGCCTTGAATGTTGAGACCCCAGGCCGGCGCCCCTAGAGTAACTAGGCTACAGGAATGCAGCATCACACCCAGCACCAAATCTCTTTCTGTTGACTTCTCCAGACGGGCACCGTGTGAGCAGCATTTAGGAGAAAGTTAAAGTGTGTCATCTACTGCATGACAGAGGAGACTGAAATGCCTGTAGAGGAGGGGAATAAAACTAGGGACATGAGAAGATACTAGAGCAGCTGTTATCATCAGGAACACTGCCAAAGGTGACACTACAGAGCCCAGAATGAGGAGAGCCATGTGACCCGACACCAGGGACCATAGCCCCTGTGGGAGTCAGGCAAACACCTATACCTTCGGGGCTACAGCTACTGTATCATGCCCAGCTAGAACATATGCTGGGGATTGTATGTTACTGAAATCTCTTAACAGGCCCAGGCTAAAAATCACACTCATCTGCAGGACAAAACTGAGCAAAACTAACACTCCAACAGCTGCAAACATGAACCACCCCCAGCTGACACATCATTTTTTTTTGTCGATTATGGGGCTTGAACTCTGGGCCTGGGTGCTGTCCCTAAGCTCTTCAGCTCAAGGCACAGTACCACTTCCAGTTTTCTGGTGGTTAACTGGAGATAATAGTTTCTCACTAGCCAGGTGCCGGCGGCTCACGCCTGTAATCCTAGCTACTCAGGAGGCTGAGATCTGAGGATCGCGGTTCAAAGCCAGCCCTGCCTGGAAAGGTCTGCGAAACCCTTATCTCCAATAAACCACCAGAAAACCTGAAGTGGTGCTGTAGCTCAAGTGGTAGAGTGCTAGCCTTGAGCTGAAGAGCTGAGGGACAGAGCCCAGGTCCAGAGTTCAAGCCCCATGAGCTACTGGTGCTCAGTTTGAGGTACTATTCTTAAACATACTTTTTCAAAGTTGGAATCATAATCAAGATAAAGAACATCCTTTCACTGACAGTCCCATCTCAATTTTGGTTCATATAATTACAAAACATGTTCAAACTAAGTTCCAGATAAACTTCCAAAAAGAAATCTCGCCAGCTAACCAGAAACAAAAACACTAAAATGTATTTGCTCCAGCCATGAATGGCTCATGGCTGTAATCCTAGCTACTCAAGAGATTGAGATCTGAGGATCATGGCATGAATCCAGTCTGGGTAAGAAAGTCCAGGGGATTTTTATAGAATACCAGCCTTAAGCCAAAGACGCTCAGGGACAGTGACTACAGCCCAAGTTGGCCTGAGTTAAAACTCTAGTACTGGCACAAAACAGTGAAAAGAGAACATATTTTCACATTTATATCAAGCTGTCACCTGAACATCTAATCTGTTTTGTTTTGTTTTTGTTGGTCGTGGGCCTGAACTCTGGGCCTGGGCGCTGTCCCTCAGCTCTTCAGCTCAAGGCTAGCGCTCTACCACTTGAGCCACAGCACCTCTTCTGGCCTTTTCTGCTTATATAAAGCTGAGGAATTGAACCCACGGCCTCATGCATGCAAAGCAAACACTCTACTGAGCCACCTTCCCAGCCCCTGAACATCTAATCTTAATGGACAGCCTTGAACTCGGGGCTTTGTGTTTGGAAGGCAAGCACTTTAGCACATGAGCCATACCTCCAGCTCCAAATATCTTTTTTTTTTTTTTTTTGGTGCCAGTCCAGGGGTTTGAACTCAAGGTGTAGGCACTGTCTCTGAGCTTCTTTTTCTTCTTCTTTTTTTTTTTGGTCAGTCATGGGGCTTGAACTCTGGGCCTGGTGCTGTCACTGAGCTCTTCAGCTCAAGGCTAGTGCTCTACCACTTGAGCCACAACACTACTTCTGGTTTTCTGGTGTTTTATTGGAGGTAAGAGTCTCACAGACTTAGGCAAGTCTGGTTTTCAACCATGATCCTCAGATCTCAGCCTTGTTAGTAGCTAGGATTACAGGCGTGAGCCACCAGTGCGGGGCATGAGCTTCTTCTGCTTAAAGCTAGTGCTGTACTTGAGCCAGAGCTCCACTTTGCTATTTTTGGTAGTTTACCAGAGGTAAGAGTTTCATGAACTTTCCTACCCCAGTTGGCTTTGAACATTGATCCTTAGATCTCAGCCTCTTCAGTAGCTAAGATTGTAGGTGTGAGCCACTGGCATCTGGCTTCTGAATATCTAATTTTAAGAACGAATACAAGAAGTTACTTGATATATATATTACTTCAAAAACTGCCAGATAGTAACAATGATATGTTTTTTTTGTTTTTTGTTTTGGCCAGACCTGGGGCTTGAACTCTGGGCCTGGGCAGTCCCGGAGCTTCTTTTGCTTTTTCTCTTGCCGGAAATCTAGGCTTATAGGTATCTTGACACCACTTGTTTCTAAGGATAAATTAGAAATGTCCAGCAGGACACTGGTGGCTCCCACCTACAATCCTAGCTACTCAGGAGACTGAGATCTGAGGATGGCAGTTAGAAGCCAGTTTGGGCAGAAGAGTCTGTGAGACTCTTATCTCTAACCAGCAAGAAACCAGAAGTAGAGGTATGGCTCAAGTTGTAGAGCACCAGCCCTGAGCGAAGAAAAAGCCAAGCAAGAGTCTGCGCACACGCATGCACACATACACACCAAAAACCACCAACACCCCAACAAAACAAAACCAAAAACCAAAATCAGTGTCACCACCACAAAAATGTCATTTCAAAGGGCCAAGGATGCAATTCAATGGTAAAACATCTGTATGTATGTGGAAGGCTCTGCATTAGACCCCTAGTATTTCAAAAACAAACAAGCAGAGGACTTTGTTGATGATTCTCTCCTAAAATAATTTTCCAGCCTCCCCTGCCATATATACCTCTATAAAGAGCAGTACACATACCATTTTCTGGGGACAGTTTGTCATAAGCATCCTCATAAATATAGTTCCTTCTTATTGTGACATTTATTCCATCTAGAAATGGACCATCTCCTTGAACTTCTTGCTTATCTGCATAAATTAACCTTTGAAAGATCTGACAAGGGAAGTTACAAGGTTATTATAAACAACAAACTTGTTATAGACACAAGCAATCCAAAGAACTGGGGGTAGAGGGTGGGGTGCTAGAACTGGCGCTTAAACGCAGGACCTGGGCACTATCCCTGAGCTTCTATTGCTCAAGGTTACTGCTTGAGCCAAAGCTTCATTGCTGCTTTTTTGGTGGTTAACTGGAGGTAAGTGTCACATGGACTTTCCTGTTTAGATTGGCTTCGAACTACAATCTTCAGGTATCGGCGTCTTGAGTAGCTAGGGTTACAGGTATCTGGCTTCAGTAAATAAAATTTAATAGTCATGGTATCAAATGTTGGCTGTTTTCTTCCATTTTGTAACAGATTCTGAAAATCAATTGCTTTATTTAGTCTATATTCATTACAAATCTTTCATAAAAATTCAGGAGGAACTGCTCTTGGGGCTGGGAAGGTGGCTCAGTGGTAGAGCGCTTGCCTTGTATGCCTGAGGCCCTGGGTTCAATTCCTCAGCATCACATAAGCAAAAAGAAAAAAGCCGGAAGTGGCGCTGTAGCTCAAGTGGTAGAGCCTTGCCTACCCTTGAGCTGAAGAGCTGAGGGACAAGTGCCCAGGCCCAGAGTTCAGGCCCCACGACCGGACCAAAAAAAAAAACCAAAAACCGCTCATTGTAAAAGTCCTATTACAAGACCTAGTGGGAATACTTCCATAATGACATAATTCACAGGTTATTGATTGTGAAAATCAAGCATAGGGAACTCGAAGTAGTTGCTATTTGTAGTTTTTGAAGAAAAAATGCCAACAGTTTCTAAAGCAAATGCCCAGGAGTGAGGAGGCCTAACCAATACTTCTTGAAACCAACACCAAAAATTCTTAGAAAAATTCCTAGAAAAAAACTACATATAGTTAAGTGGTTGCAAATAGAACACATTAGATTATGTTTGGGAACAGATACAAACAAATTCTGGTATGTGGGTGAAAATCACCAGGCAGGGAGGTACAGTATCTGCTCATTTTTATTTTGTATAAAGTAGTGTTCATGATATGCCACTTCCACTCGAATGAATGGAACATACCTTTACAAAAAGTGGCATTCTCAGTAACAAATTCATGATCAGAAATCTGTTCATCTAACAGGCCATTCAGCCAGCTGTAACTAAGGGAAACCTTTCCGTTTGTGCCATGAGGTACCTGCTGTGTTTCACCAACTACTGAACGCTGTTACAACCTAGTGAGAACACAGATTAGACACCATCAGGGGTCTGCTGGCTGGTGTTTTGAGGGGGGTGGTGTGTGTGGTTTGAACTCAGGGCCTCACACTTGCTAGGCAGGCCCAGGGTCTCGGATTTATGCAAGGCTGACGGGAACTGCAAGCCTACTTAGACGCTTAGTTTAGCTGAGATGACAAGTATGTGAATCACTCTGTATTTACTGGTGGAATGGGGTTGCTCACACTTTTTGCCAGGACCCTCCTGAGGACTGCCTCCCACTAAGCCAGGACTACAGGAAGAACCCTCCATACCCAGTCTGGGGCATTAGTTGTTTACATAAGGTGATCACTGACGTACCTTCACTCGCTCCTCAAAAGGAACCACGAAAGGCAGTTCTGTCAGAATGGCGAGCTGCCGTTCCTCAGACACGGACAGGGGCGGGGACTCCAGGCCCACTGCAGTGTTAGAAGCTCATTAGTCCACGCGCACTGTCAGACAGGCCCCAGCAGTCTAACGCAGCTATCTACCCCCAGCGCCCCAGACCCAACCGAAACCTTTTTCAGTCTTCCTGGTCATGTGAGCAGTACCACAACAGCAAGGGCAGGACAGCAGGCCATTTTTTTGTGGGTGATGAGACTAGCTCATGGGGCCAATTTGGGTAGTATTCCAAGACCAAACCCTGCGGAAGCGCAGGCTCAAAGGTGCAGAAGCTACAGTGTGTAGAGGCGCTCCCGGAAGCCGCCGGGAGGTAAGGTGGGCTCACCCTCCAGAGCAGACTGCAGCGGGCCGATCCTGCCCATCCGCCGGAACCTCCAAACGTGCCTGGAAGCAGGGACGTAGAGCTGGGTGACCTGAGGGGACCAAACTGGTGTCAGGACTTCCTTTGGACCCACAAGGACCCTGGCTGGGCTTCCTCTACTGCGAGACAGGCTGGGCCTTGCTTCTGTTTTGATGAACTGGCCCTCTCTGCCCTATCTAGTCTGCACTTGCTTGCTTCTCCTATGCCGATTCTCTCTCTTTTTTTTTTTTTTGGGTCTGGTCGTGGGGCCTGAACTCTGGGCCTGGGTGCTGTCCCTCAGCTCTTCAGCTCAAGGCTAGCGCTCTACCACTTGAACCACAGCACTACTTCCGGCTTTTTTTCTTTTTGCGTATGTGGCGCTGAGGAATGGAACCCAGGGCCTCATGCATGCAAGGCAAGCGCTCTACCACTGAGCCACCTTCCCAGCCCATGCTGATTCGATTTTTAAACTGAATTGATAACTTTTATTTTTCCTTATTTTGCCAGGCCTAGGTCTTGAACTCAGGGCCTGGGCGCTTTCCCTGAGCTTCTTTTGCTCAAGGCTAGCACTCTACCACTTGAGCCACAGTGCCACTTCCAGCTTTTTCTGTGTATGTGGTGCTGAGGAATCAAACCCAGGGCTTCATGCATGCGAAGCCACATTCCCAGCCCAATGACTGTTTTATTCAAGAATAAACAGTATCAGGGCATAGCAAACAGTCATAATAATACAATGGCTTTACAAAACAAACCATACTGAGAGCATCCTTATAAATGGCATAACTATGGGAACTATGTCACTGATGCTCTTCTGTGGTGAGCTTTCTTTCTTCTTTTTTCTTTCAGTAATGGGGCTTGAACTCTGGGCATGGACACTGTCCTTGAGCTCTTCAGCTCAAGGCGAGTGCTCTATCACTTGAGCCACAGTGCCACTTCCAGTTTTCTGGTGGTTAATTGGAGTAAGAGTCTCACAGACTTTCCTGCCAAGGCTGGCTTTGAACCATGATCCTCAGATCCCAGCCTGCTGAGTAGCTAGGATTACAGGCGTGAGCTACCAGTGCATGGTTTCTGTGGTGAACTTTCTAGAGTAAGGATGAACTGGGGATGATTTCTATCTGGCACCAGCCCTCATTTCCTGGGGACTAGCTTAAGTTCAGGTCAGCAACCCACTGTGAGGGCCTCAGACCTCACTCAAGTACACAGACTGAGATGGGCCATAGCTACAACACATCTGTAACCGAAAGAAAAGCACAGAATCCACTCTGAATGGCTGTGACAGGGGTTCACTACAAGTTCACTGCTTTTTTCTAAAGTAATGAGGTACAAAATGAGTAATAACTCAAACAATTTCAAGGGATGTACTCTCCTGAAAGTCGAGAGCTGAAAAACCATTCTGAATGAAGCACACCACAAGGGTCGTTTAGCAGTACCTTATCTGCTTTAATATCCTCTTGCTCTGACAGCCAGTGGTTCGGAGGACAGAAGCTTCTCCTTGTGTCTCTGGACTTCAGCATTTTCACCAGGTTGGTGATAACCTGCAGAGAAGGGCGGGTGTATATCACAGAAGCACTGTGCACAGAAGCTGGAGCACCACTCAGACGCCTCAAGGAAACAGGCCTCAAAGTCTGTTGGCTGAAATTTCAATGCTCCTCTAAGGAAAGGGTTTGGGCTTCGACCGTGTTAAGTCTGATGCCAAATTTCAGTAGAATTCAAAGTCACACAAGCAGGATTTTCTTTATAGGTTCTATATTGTCTTAAGTTTGTTTCAAACAGCTATATTACTTGATTAAAACAACTAAAAATGAAAAAAGAAAAAAGGGCTCAAGCGTTCCCAAACCAGGGTAGGTAAGAGACCTTCACAGCAAGGCACCACCAGCTTATCCCCGCTACGTAGGAAACTGAGATATGAGGACTAAGGTTCAAAACCAGCCTAGGTAGGAAAGTCCATGACACTGTTATCTTTAATTAACTACCAAAAAAGCTAGAAGTTGAGCTGTGGCTCAAGTGATAGAGAGCTAGCCTTGGGCAAAGGGACAGTTTCCAAGGGATGAGTTCAGGCCCCAGGAGCAGCACACACACAAAATGAGCACTCCCTGCCTTCCGCAACCACAAGTGTGCGGCAAGAACAAAATAATTACCTGCCAACAAAGAAAGGAAAGTGAACTCCAGCACACACACATAATGGTCTTTATTACCTGTAGAGGAGATGGTGGTCAAGTTTTGAAATATTTAAAACTTAGAATTAGCTCATCTGAGGTTAAAATGCCACTGTGACATTTTTTTCTAATTTTTATTTTTATGGCCAGAGCTAGGGCTTGAACCCAGGGCCTCAGCACTGTCCCTGGGCAGATTCTTTTGCTCACGGCTAGCACTCTACTACTTGAGCCACAGTACCACTTCTGGCCCTTTCTGTTTAAGTGGTACCTAATATACTTAGTTCTTGAGAATTAGCTTTAAGTTTCCAAAGACTGGATCTTAGAATAGTACAGACATGTTCTGTTTAGGGAAAAACCTCACTGAAATGTCATGGCTTCTGTCCATTTTCACAGTAAATAGATATTTAAATCAGACAATTAGGAAGTGGTGCTGTGGCTCAAGTGGTAGAGGGCTAGCCTTGAGCTGAAGAGCTCAAGGACAGCACCCAGGCACAGAGTTGCCAAGCCCCACAACCAAAAATCAGTCAATCAATCAATCATTCAGATAATTAGCCACTGTGTTGAAATGTGACCTGTTCACAGAGCCACACTGTTAACAAAGGCTATGTTTTCTAGGAACTGTTAGGTTTCTTGCTTGTTGTATTACTCCACAGAATCTGACCATCTGTGTGAGACTACCACCCAGGAGACAAAGCCTTGCCACAGATATTGAACCCGACCACGGTCGCAGACAAGAGGCACTCTGCCCAATTACAGGAAGTGAAGCGTCCCCACCCCAATGCTACTCCTTTACCCTCCTGTATGTAAGTGTTCTTTGTGTGGAGTCTTGTACGGAATAAGCAGCCCCTTGAAGAATTAACTGTGATGTTCTGTGCTTCTACTCAATTCTATGCTTCTAACAGTTTTGTTGTTGTGTTGTGTTTTTTGTTGGGGGAAGGGGTAGAAGGTAATACTGGGGTTTGAATTCAGCACTCTGAATACTAGGTAGGTAGACTTCTCTACCAGTTGAACTTCACTTCCATGTTAACTCTGTGTGTATGTGTGGGGGGGGGGGGGGGGAGGGGGGAGGGAGATTCTGGGGCTTGACTCAAGATTTGGGTGCTGTCCCTAAGCTTTTTGTTCAAGGCTGGTGTTCTACCATTGAGCATAGCTCCACGTGTAGCTTTTTTGATGGCTAATTTGCAATGAGAATCTCAGACTTTCCTCCCAGGGATGGCTATAAACCTTGATCCTCAGATTTCAGCCTCCTGAGTAGCTAGGATTACAGGTATGATCCACTGGCACCCAGCTTTGATAAAATTTACCAAAGATAAAGTTAGTATCTATATTCAGAACTAGCCATCCACTCACCAGTTTAAAATTATGATTTCAGCTGTTCATGTTCTCATAATCTTTTTTTTTTTTTTGTTGGTCAGTTGTGGGGCTTGAACTTGGGCCTGGGCACTGTCCCTCAGCCCTCCAGCTTAAGCTAGTGCTCTACCACTTGAGCCACAGCACCACTTCCAGTTTTCCGGTGGTTAATTGGAAGTAAGAGTCTCACAGCCTTTCCTGCCCGGGCTGCCTTTGAACCGTGATCCTCAGATCTCAGCCTCCTGAGTAGCTAGGATGACAGGTGGCAGCCACGGGCATCCAATGTTCTCATAATCTTTTTTTTTTCCTTGTCGGTCATGGGGCCTGAACTCTGGGCCTGGGTGCTGTCCCTCAGCTCTTCAGCTCAAGGCAAGCGCTCTACCACTTGAGCCACAGCGCCACTTCCAGTTTTCTGGTAGTTTATTGGAGATAAGAGTCTCAAGAACTTTCCTATCTTGGCTGGCTTTGAACCACAATGCTCAGATGTCAGCCTCCTGAGTAGCTGCGATTACAGGCGTGAGTCACCAGTGCCTGGCTAGTATATATAATTTTTAAAGCTTATCTACACAGACATTCCATTTTCATATATTTGTAGTGTGGGTAAGTTTTGTTTTTTTTGGTAGTACTAGTATTTGAACTTGGACCTTGAGCTTGCTAGGCAGGTATTCTACTACTAAGTTTTGACACTGAAAGTGAATCTGAGAAAAATAAACATGTTTACTTTTCACTTCACAAAATGAACCCAGTCAAACTTTCATTATTAAATTTTGTGTTTTCCTTTACATAATGAAGAAAAATGCTAAAGCATCTTAGTTGTACACAAAGCACCTGAGTTGAATTCTAAAGTATGGTCTTTGACATTTCAAAGCAAAACAAAACTACTTGGAATTGGTTTAGGGCAAAGGGGGAAAGTATCTTCCCCACAGGTCTTACAAAGCCTGTGAAGTAATCTGGTCTGGTCCCACCAAGGCAAATGCAAAGCACAGCTGAAATTCAATAAAACTAGTACTTTTCATAGAACATAAGCAGTACCACTAACACAATGTGCTATTAATGGCCTTTGGAAGGAAGAAAGTTGGTTAAACCCCAAGTTTAGGAGATAGGCTTGTCCTGTTTATTTAGCAAATGAAAATATGGAGTCTGGTCAGATAAGCTGGAACTTCATATAAATTGCAAAACTAAAAACACATAATTATGCTTCACATGATAACCATGAAAACAAGAACCAGTAGGAAATCACGCAAGCAAGTGAAAAGGCACCCGGCTTTTTTTTTCTTTTTCGCTGTATTAATTTTCTTTCTTTCTTTTCTGTTTATGTGGTACCAGGAATCGAACCCAGGGTCACATACGCATGCTAGGCAAGTCATGAATTCCCAAGCCTACTTATATTTTTTTAAAGTTATGGTTTTCTAGAATTCAAGATTTGATATTTATCTGAAATTATATGGAAAGCTTATAGATATGATATCAAAATACGCAAGTATTGAAGCTTTTCAATGTTTAATTTCACAGTAACTTAAAAGTCGATACAAAGTAGTAGAGCACTCGAGCAAAAAAGCCCAGGGACAGTGCTCAGGGATAGTGCTCACTCCAGGACTGGTACTAAACAAGTAATAAACACACATACACACACACACCTGGGTCATTCATGGGTCTTTAAGGTAGGGAATGTGATAAGTACATGAGGGAAGAATACTTTTTGTCGGTCATGGGGCTTGAACTCTGGGCTTGGGTGCTGTCCCTCTGCTCTTCAGCTCAAGGCGTGCGCTCTACTGCTTGAGCCACAGTGGCACTTCTAGTTTTCTAGTGGTTTATTGGAGATAAGAGTCTCAGGGACTTTCCTGCCCGGGCTGGCTTTGAACTGTGATCCTCAGATCTCAGCCTCCTGAGTAGCTAGGATGGGAGGCATGAGCCGCCGGCGCCCGGCTGGGAGAATGCTTTTAAACATTTGACTTTTAGTCTTGTACTGGAGGTTCACACCAGTAATTTGAGCTATTCAGGAGGCTGATGTCTGAAGACATGGTCTGGAGCCAGCCTGGGCAGGAAAAGTCCATGAGCCCCTATTTCCATTTTTTTTTCCTGGTCATGAGTCTTGAACTCAGGGCCTAAGCACTGTCCCTAAGCTCCTTTTGCTCAGGGCTAGCACTCTACCAAATTGAGCCACAGTGTCACTCCTGTTTTTTTCTGTGATTAATTGGAGGTTAAGAGTTTCATGAACTTTTCTGCTCAGGGTTCAATTGAGATCTTCACATTAGCCTCCCGAGTAGGTAGGATTACAGGCATGAGCTACTGGCTCCCAGTTTATCATATCTTAATAATTATAAAAGAAAGGATACTCACCTCTGCCAAAAACAAAACAAAACCCCATTAAAAAAAAACAAAACAAGAAACAACCAAAAGACATCCAGGCAAACAGACAAGCAAAAAGCCCAACCCAGGAAAGGCTGAGTGAAACACGGGTACAGTGCTTTGCACCTCCTGGTTTTAAGGTTGAAGTCTTCCCTTAGTAGTGTCAGGGGCAGAAGCTGGGGTCTCACACATGGCAGGTATCCAACACTGTGCAACACCCTGTCCTTGTGTCAAAACTGGGTCTTGCCAAGGGTCCTGAACCCCGAGTACTGGGATTATAGGCATGGTAACGGCACCCAGCAAGGGTTTGTTTTCCCTCCTCACAAGAAAAATACAAATCAACCCTAAAGAAAGGAAGAATGGCATAGGAGAGTTCTCGCACTGTGGTGACTGGACAGGCAGGCAAGAGAGCACATGCCTGTGAGCTAGCTCCTACTAAATCTGGGCCTGTATACAAAGACATCTCAAAGCAGGACTTGCCGTCGCCTCACAGAGCAAAAGCAATTATAGATACAAATTACATTTCAGGGAGAGTTTATAAACTTGATAAATGCATAAACTGTTTTAGCCGTGTCCATGAAGGACTCAGAAACTGACCTCAATTCCTACGGTGACAAAGAAAGATGACTCCATCCACTTACAATTCTATGTTCTATGACCAGCCAACAGAGCCTCTCACA